CATATTAAAGAAACAATATTTTGGGGCTTTTTTCATTTTAAAATGTTTATGGACATCCACCTTTCAAAGGACATTCATGTTGTCCTGTAACTCAAATAGTTAAAACATTTCACTCTGAGGTAGTTTATATTTTTATAGGGGGTATACTGTACCTAGACAATGTAACAGAAAATATATTTTGTATGTTAAATATATTTTTTAAGCATATCTAACATTGTAAATCTTCTTGCATGTCACTTTTAAAAAAGGGTAAAAAGGAAAAAGAAAAAAAAAAAAGAAAAAAAAAGGGTATGAAAACATAACATGTTTAAGTATGGTTTAACATGATATTTACCTAACTTTCTGTCCTCCAGTCTAACCAAAGATGTCTTTAAAGTTTCTTATACATGAAAAAAAAACAGACGGAGTTTTAAAACCGGGAACAAAGCATAGCGCTTTTAATTATCCAAACAGTAACACGCGATTTATATACTAACAGTTAGTTAACGTTAGTCCTGTATTCTTTTTCGAAGTTTAGCCCTCTGAAACGTTGCGGTTAACGGGCTTAACAGCTTCCGCTAGCTTTAGCCATCTCTGTTTACCAGGGTTAACGCTGACATCAGCCTCGATATGGCCGATTTTGGCCGTCAAACTGCCGCCTCTTCGGGAGCAACTGGCTTTTTGTTTTCTTTTTTTTATTAAATTGAAAATACAAGCTAGTTTTCTCTTCATGTCGAGTCCATTAACCGTTTAAATGCTTCATATGAAAAACCGTTTAAAACCCTCGAATGATGAGCCGAGTCCGAAAGCTTTTCCCGCTTCTACACCGGCAGCCAATCATTGAAGAGCTGCTGAATAAGGAACCAATCACAGCGTGGCAGAGAGCTCAGCCAATGGCTGTGAGCTCAGACGGAGCGGGAGGCATGGAAACAGGTGGCAGAGCAGTCTTACATGTCTGTAAAAGCTACTTTAACAAACAAACACAGAACTCACAGACAATGTGTCACCTCTGACTGGGCATTTTTAAGTAGTTACACGGAGATTTATTAACTTTCCTAACATATCATGAAGACCACACCACTGGTTGAACTTGCTTATTGTGTGGATTAAATCTTTTAAAGTTGGATGGCAGAATTCTCCAACCAAAGCAGAGCTGCTAGTCTTTGCAGGCGTTAAATATGTTCTTTCATAATCACCAAACAAAACAGATGCAGACTGATGGCCTGAGGCCTAAATGACTCACCTGTTCTGAGGAACTTTTTTTAAAAATTGTAATTCTAAATTGAAATATCATTTTGTTTTGTTGCAGAAACTAAAGTTCAGGGGGAAAACTCACATTATTCAGGTAAAATTATTTAATTAAATTATTTGTGTACATGTATTCTTTTTTACATTGTTCATTAAGAAAGTTTTTTCATGCTGACTTTAGCTCAAGTGATAAAAGGTGACAAAATGCAGACAGAAGCAGACAGTTTGCTGCAGGTGGATCATTTAAATAATACAAGGACTAAATAGACAAAGTGCAATATTTGATTTGAAAATAACCTTTGGCCTTGTTTTTGTTTTCCACATGAATAAAATTGAGTTATCTTTGATATACTTTAT